CAATAACATATATTACTAAAATTAAATATAAAAAAATGAATAAAATAAAGAGAACCATAATACGTTTTATGATTAACTGAAAACACACACAGACAGAAAATAGAAGCTGCTAAGAAACGATAATAAGTGGACATGATACAAAGCTTACTATCAGTGTTAAAAACAAATGGTAAGAGTGTGTGGTACTCCGGAGCATGCAAGTGTTAAACTGAAATTAATGGTGTTAAGTGTATTGGTATAATGTGTTGTTTTATGAATGATGGTTTAGTTACACGTATCATCTATTGTTTCTGTTAAGTTTTTCGGATTTTTTTTTCGTTAATGAGTATAGCTTCCATATATTTTCATTCTTTAAAATCTTTGTTGTTGTTTTTGTAAGATAGAAACTTTAAATGGATTTGGGTTTTTTTGTGGTTGGGGTTCCGTGTTTGCATAGGAAGTGTTCTACTGGAGCGGTTTTATGTTAGTCATGCGTATATAACGTACTGATGTGTTCTGAGATGAGCGTGTGAAAAGGTCTTCCGATTTTCTCCTATATATGCCTCTCCACATATGTTACAAATGATTTGCTAAACAACGTTTTGGATGTAGCACATTTGTCTTGTTCCGTTTTCTCTGGTGTAACATTGTTTTTTGGCACATGTTGTTTGCGAGAATATCAGTTGGGATTTTTTAATGGCTTTACGAATCTTGTTTGTGATTGTGTTGTTTAGGAAAGGAATGTTCATTGTGGGCGTTTTCGTTTATGTTTTTTTTTGTTCTGTTGCTGTTGTAATGTTTTTTGTTTTTTTTGTGATTTGAAAACATTGTTGATGTAATATTCGGGGTATCCGTTTCGTAAAGTAGTGTTTTAAAGTATTTTAGTGCTGTTTCAATGCCATTCGGCGTGGAGCAGTTTCGCCTTATTTTCTCTAATTCTCCTATTATGGTTACCCTTTTGATTGGTTCTGGGTGGTGTGATTTGTAATGGAGAAATATTGGTTTCTTGCATTCTTTGTTATGCATGGAGCTCCGTATTTGTCTGTTTTGGATTTTTAGGGCTACGTCTAGGAGCATTAAGTATCCTTTTGCGTTGGGTAGTTATAGTGTGAATTTGACTGATGGGTGGAAGTGGTTTAGGAAATAGTAAAACTGCTGTAGTGTTTCTTTTCCATGATTCCAAATACCAAATATGTCATCAGTGTATCTGTACCACACTTCTGGTATTAAGCCTATTTTTTGTTTATATGTGTCAAGAGCCTTGGTTTCTAGTATATGCATGAATATTATAGGAAATGTGACTGTTGCTCTGTTACTCATTGCTTCTCCTTTCTCTTGTTTGTACAAAGTGTCATCAAATTTAAAATAACTGTTGTATAGGACAAAATTGAGCATTATACGGATGGTTTCTAATGTGGTGTTTGCTGAAAAAATGTGCTGATCAAGTGAAGATGTGAAGTTAATGATAATATCTATGCCTTGTTCTATGGGTATGGATGGGTACAAGACCATTAGGTCTAAGGAAAATAAAATGGAGTCAGTGCATGTTGTTCGTATGGAAGAGTGTATCTTTTCTAATAGGTCTTTAGTATTGGTTAAGTGTGATGGAACATACTTGAGACAAGATTTAAACAGTTGATCAAGTAACCAGGATATGATTTCTGTTGCAGACTCATACGCTAACATTCTGGGTATTAAAGATAAATTTTGTTTATGGTCTTTAGGGACTTCATATAGTTCAGGTATACGGCTGTGGGAGGGTTTTGATTGTGTTAGTAATATATATTTTATAGTATATATATATATATTCATATTGTATATTATATTTATCTGGAATGTAAAGGTAGTTTTTTCTGAACTTTTATCAAAATATATTGATTACAGACTCCACACCAAAAAAATAAAACAACAACAATGAAACACTAAAGGTTTTCACAGGTGGAAGGTATCTTCACCAGAGACAAAGCACATATTATGAGTAGATAGGATTTATAATCTGTGACTAAAGCGCTGCTTCAGTTGGGGAGAGGGCGTCTGGGAGTGAAAGTCACCAGATGCCACTAAGCGAGGGTATCATTTGAGCACAGGAGATCATGTGACGTCACACGTCACGTTATAGACGCTACTTCCAAGGAGTGCCACAGAAGGAGGAGGAGGGAAGTGTCCTCAAGGAAAGGTAGTTCTATAGTATGCCACTAGAGGATGCGATAAATCTTTTGAGACCTTAAAAGCTGGATTTGCCATATTTAGGTGTGCCCCAACTTGGGATTATGAAAAGTGACTTCATAACGAACTTCGTAATGTCCTTTGTCTTGATTTCATTTGTAAAAATTATTCAGACACGATATTTACTGTATTAGTTCTGCAATATTGTTATTCTACACTTTCTAAGTTATAATTTTATCTGAGTATCCATTTATTCAATAGTAAATAAAGCATCGTCAAATGATATTAAAATCAAAATATCAAATAGTTTCAAAGAAATTTGAATAATAAACATATATATAGAAACACAAGTTATGTGCATGGGATTATAACGAAAAACTTGTGACACATTCAAGAAGTAACACTATTTACACCTAATGTTACGCAAAAGAGCTACATTATTTGATGCAATATTATTCACCTGAAAGGAGGCCGATGGCTGTCTGGAGAGGTCACCTGTTTTAACCACTCGCACCACATTACAGTAGTGTGTTGTCTGTCAGTCAGTCAGAAGACAATAAAATTATGTTACGTAAGGGACGCTTAACGTTGCAATTTGTGCTGTTGTGACGTCAGTAAAACGTGTGCATGCCATGAATCACGAGAAGAATTATACACTCTGTAAGCTACAACGCAGCATTACATATGAACTTCAACAACAAGAAAAAAAATTGTTACTCTTAATTTTGATTTTATTTGCTCTTGAGACAGAACACTTTTGGGGACTCTGTGGAAGTACATCTACTAAATAAGAATGAAATAAACATAGTTTAAAGTTTCTAATATATTCTATTTGCATTTCACAGACATTTTACTTCCAAAGCAGCTTAGATAAATGTTTTTTTTGTTGTTGTTGTTCATATTCCCAACAAATATTGTTATAATTCCATTTAATAACTATTCAATTCACGAGTTTTGTAAAATAATAATATTTAGTTATAAACATTTGTAACACATATAAATGAAATTTTAATACATTCACTTGGGCAAATTTTAACCCAAACATGTATACCAAAGTGCACCAGTGCAAAAACTCTGTATAACAAATAATCAAACTATAAAATTGTGTTATATATATATATATATTACAGTTCGGAATTATTATTAGAGCAGAAAGTCATAAATGTGAAACAAGACTTCGTGTTCTCGTGGTGTCACTGTTCCTGGAAGAAAATATGAGTAACGAACCACTCACTACTGTGAAACATGAGTCAAGGCCAAGTGGGTTGTTTGGTAGGACAATATATATGCATAATAGTATTAGTATGTATGGTTTATAAAAAATGTTTCACCAGTGTTTCGATTTGTAAATGAATTGAAAATATAAACTATTTGGTATCCTACCAGATGCCACCTTTTGAAAAAAACATAAAATGGTAAGTGTTGGATATTTTTTATAGTTACTTAAGATTTATTTGTTAAATAAGCTGCTTCGAAAAACGTCATATTTTGACTCTGTTTAGTTAGAGTAATATGTTTCGTACAGGATGTTATAGTTTAATAACCTGTAGTTAAAATGATATATAATATCATTTAAGAACAGAAATGGCCCTTTTGAGGGTTCTATCTATAATAACAAATTTAATACAAGTTAAAACAGTCGTACTGGCTATAAAAATATATTTTTTCTTTGGCATACCATATTGTCTTTAGTTAGTGAAAATGTCTGGATAAGACAAACGTTAGAGTATGAATAAGTTAACATAAAAACATTCATTTTCAGGACAACGTAGATTGTAAATTAAACTAATATAAGGATGATAATACAGTTAAAATACGAAATACGTTTGTTTGTTTTGAATTTCGCGCAAAGCTACAAAGGGGCTATCTGAGCCAGCCGTCCCTAATTTAGAAGTGTAAGACTAGAGGGAAGGCAGCTAGTCATCACCACCTACCGCCAACTCTGTTACCAACGAATAGTGGGATTGACCGCAACATTATAACGCCCCCACGGCTGAAAGGGCGAGCATGTTTGGAGTGACGGGGATTCGAGAGAGTGAGAATGTTTTATGTATAAACTTATAGGGAAACATGGTTTTATAAGTAACTTAAACTAGTATATCAATAATAAGCTGAATAAACTACGGAGTACGCTACAAAAATAGCCACAATTTTACAGACTCGATGAAACGTAACATATCTTAACTTCACACATTCAAATGCTTGTTTATTTTTGAATAAATGGATATCGATCCATGCTCTGGTAGTACTTTATGGAACTATCCACCTCTGGCGACACCCTTTGGAATTATCTACACCTGTCGGATCTATACGGAACTATTTGTATTCTGGAATTACTCTGTTGAAGTACTTATTATGACTTTATAAGTCACGTGACCTCTTGCACTCAAAGATTACCCCCATCGGCTGACATTCTTTGATCTTTACCTCCCCTATGACTCTCGACTAAGCAGCTCCTAGCTGCTATTCTATCTGCATACCTTGGACCTTGAAATTATCTAGAAAATATCTATTACAATGACTGAAACATAAATTAAAGTACTACGTTATATGTTTTATAGGCGATAAACTTTAACACGAGGTTTTGGAGAACGTTTGAAAGAAACTCTGATTGGAGTTTTTTAAAGTATATATTTTGTTACACGTACCTTTGGTATGTAACCAAAATTTTTAGGACTTTAAAGGAAAAAAATCAAACAAATATTAAATTCTAGGATATACAAGTTAATCATCATAAGAGCTTTTTTGTACAGCATAATTTAATTAATGAGTAAAAAGTATTATAAGTCAAATATAGAAATTTAGTTTAAAAAATAAAACAATTAATTTACATTCATAACGAAGCTAGAATAATCGTTTTTATAAGAACTTTTAAAGCTAGATCATTTACACTAATCTTAATAAGAAAAATACAAAGGACAAACAAAAAATAGTCTTACCCAAAAATGATCGGCAAATCGCATAGTCTCTTCAGTTGTCATAAACTAATAATAGGAAGATAATTAATAAGAACCTTCTCCAGCTTTCCTTCTTATGCAAGTTCCAAAAAAAAGTGAGCATACCGTCAGAATGTAGTAACTATCGCAGATGTAGTTGCATTTACTTCTACATCTTTCCGGCAAACACATCTGGAAATTCTTCCGCGTGTTTTCTTTGAAAACGAGTTTAGTACTGCCATCTGTTGACGATATTGAGCATTAATATCACACTTGAAGTATTTTTGGCACATCAATGATCCTACTCAACTAAATGATACCTATAAAACGTTAAAAAACACATTATTTTTAATGTTGAACAATAAAAGTAATAAACGACTATATCGTGTGTTACAGACTTCAATGGCTTAAGTTGGTTGTGATCTATTGTAAGTGTTGTTTCTACAGGGTAAGTTTCTAACTGTTACTGAACTTTGGTTGTTGGAAATTCAGTAACATTTCATTTGTATAGTCTGAAGTCGTACATGATTGTAACTGCTTGCTGGTGCGTCAGATTGATGTGTTAATAGGTTAGCCTTTACAAATCACTTCCCAATTACACATGACTATGGACAGTGCCTCTTGAGTATGTATATATACATACGTATTCTGATTGGTGTGGCTAAAGAATGATACATGGCAACTGAAACGCTAATTTTGAAAACATGAGGTTTTTTTTTTTTAACTTTTGTTCTTTGGTCTATTGTTTTCTTAATTCGGTGCAACATAGACGTAATAGTTATGGTCTCTCTGTTGTGACACATGGTCTGTTTTGCTCACCAGTGTAAGAGGACAGTAGTGGAACGTTTACTGACGTTTCACCACATTTCGAGGGGATTTTATTATTATTATCCTTATTATTTTCAAAAGTAAACCAATCACTGTTAACTGATATTTCATTGAAACTGAAGCATCAGGTGGAGTGTGCTTTTATTAAAATTAATTTAATATTAAAAGATGGTACTCAAATAAGAGATAAAATGGTCCACTGTATTCTTTCTTAAATATCACCAATTCGTTTAATTAAGGCCTGACCTTTGCGTTTCGTATCTAGTAAGTGTATTTGATCGATAACTGTTTTATATTTGAATCTCACTGTAAATAGTATTAATAAAAAGAGCTGTTTGTTATTTGTGGACCAATGCATTAGTCTTTATTGTCCCTGTATTTCAGTTACCTAGAGTGAGGGTCCCAGACTAGGGGGGGAGCGGGTATATTTCACAAAATTATCTAACAAAAGAAAGGAATTGTATGTGAAATATTAAAAAGAAAAGCTGGAAAAGTTCAGTCAACAAATATTAAAATATCATTATTTATTCAAATACCTTATTTACAATGAAAGTAACGTTTCGATACCCATAGTTTCACGGATACTGCTCTAAGTTAAGAATAGCTAAGCCTGTGACTAACGGTCCTTGACCTAGTCGTTTAGCCCATGTGTCACTTTAAAATGGTTTCGTGATAAGGATATTACGAATAGGGAGCGCAGGCCTTGAGTAGTTTTCATATGAACTAATGTTATAGATATTACGTATATGGAGCATAGGCCGTACCTCCTTTATAAGGAACAATGTTATGGATATTACGTATAGGGAGCGTAGGCAGTATCTTCTTTTTGTGGAACAATGTTATGGATATTGCCTTTAGGGAGCATAGGCCGTGTATTTTTCATAGAGAATTGTATATTCTTAAATGAAAAAATGTTATGGACATTATACATAGGGAAGATAATTGGAATTAGCATTACAATGTATATAAATTGAGATGCTATTCAAGGAATACAGACTAACAACGGATGACACAGATTGAAATACTTATAATATGGGATATAGATTGTGAAGTAAACATTTTTTCTTTCCTTAGTAAGATACACAGTGTGGAGCAAAAGTGACTATACAATTGTTTCATTTAGAACATAGTTTAATTTATAATGTCTTATTCTATAACAAACAATAATTAAAATGGTTTCAATTGTCTTCGTAATATTTTCTTTAGTGTATAGTATATCAAGTGTATAGTATCTTTTGACCCGTCTTGTGTAAGGACAAATCTTAAGCCAAATTCAGTTAAAATTATTTATTGTTGAGCAGAAAACTACACAATTGGTTATCTGTGGTGTGCTTACCACGTGTATCAAACCCCAGTATTTTGCATTATAAGCCTTTAGGCTTACCGCTAAACCACGAGGAGGGGGAGGGGGGTTCTATATAAGAAGTGTGTATTTAACAGTTGATCGAAAAAATATGAATTTGTCCAAATGCTGCTATTTTGTTCAATATGTCGCCACCAATCTTCAAAACGTTTATAGTTTTAATTACAGAATCGTTGTATTTTTTCACTAGTTCATCAAAGTAAAATCTTTTTTTTGGGGGGGTCACATTTATTTGCTTACGTAGCTGGAATACATTTCATACTAACTTTATTTAGATCTCTCTCAGCTGGCGTTGGAAAAGTATTTTGAAAGTTTTGTTGATTTTTATATATTTTCTTTACCGTTTTAATTGACAAAGCGATATCAAAATACAAATGTATGTTAAATCAAGCTTAATTAAATTTAGATAAAATATTAATTGCGAATGCAGAAAAAAAACGATCTTTATTTGTGAATATTCATCCTCAAAATGAAACCAGTGCTCTATTTGAAGGAAACATATTTTCGCTAACGTCTCGTGCGAAAAAAAGAATTGTCATAAATTACTTTCTTCCGGTTTCATGTGACATAAATAGTTTAATCACTAATATGGATGTAACACTGAAAGACGGCATAAGAAATACTATTAATTAATTTTCTCATCATGTTGCAAAGAAACACACACATACACACACAAAAAGCACAGGAAGTTAAAGTAATTTGTTCGGAACGGTACTGGAGCACTGAACCTTGGTTCGTATTAATTCCTTAAGACAGATACAGTGCACGTTTAAGTTAATGAGCTGCTCATATTTCTCTCTTTGAGTATGTACTCGCGATATTCGTAACATCAGATTCTACAAACTTATCATTTTTTTATGTCTAACTCCACGTATATTTCTGTACTTAATTTGGTTGTCTTTAGAAATCTACTACGGACAGTTTCTACACCTGCGTTGTCTCTGTATTGACATGCATTTGCTTAACCTGATTTTCTGAAGTTATTGTTTAAAGCCTCATTCTTCCCGAGGTTGTCACTTCAATATTCTTATTGGAATACAAATCTTTCTTTTTTATGACATTCACAGAGAACAACTGGAGCTGACAAGTAAGTATTGAATTTGCAGTACGGGAGTTTCAGAAGAATTTGCTCGAAGGAGAATAAACTGAACAAGGAGAGCAAAGGAAAGGCTCAAACAATAGTGTAGAACAAGTATTTAATTCTTACACAAACCTTGAAGATTGAAGATGTGCTGCAGGCTTTACAATATGGCTAGCTTGATTCTATGGAATAACTTGAGGACCTTAGTGCCGCTGAAGTTGAGGGAGGACACGTGTTCACAATTCAAGAGATTAGAGAATTGTTTCTGTGACACATTTTCTAGTCACACCGAATCCCTAATGCAGTATCCCACAATCCTTGATTACCTACGTCAGTGATCATTCTCGTTATACATAGTCAAGGAAGAATTTAATTTTAGATTATACCAATTTATACTAAACTCTGCATGACCCACACCATAGATGTCTTAGTATGTTTTTAAGCACAAAGCAATACAATGGGCTATTTGTGTTGTGCCCACCACTAGTATCGAAACCCGGTTTTTAGCGTAATAAGTCGAAATATTTACCGCTGAGCTATTGGGGGAGGGGTTCCCTAGAGGATAAATTATGCAAAAGCATGGCTAAGTGAGTATAAATTCTCTGAAATGATCACTAAGGTATGTAACTTTAGTCTGAGGTGAGAATTAAAGCACGCTTCTAACTTTCTATTATCCTGTTCACGAGGAGCTAAGTAAATGTAAAAGAATACAACGAAAATCTTACGAAATGTAATGATGAATATATCTAAATAAAGATGTATTCTCTCCTAGATATATATAAGCGTGAAATTGTTGCACTTTTCAAGTGCCATGTACTTAATATTTGTTTGTTTGGAAGGGTAGATTTTACAACATATATAGCCACCAGGTAGCCTAAGAACCTTAAGCCTGCGAACCACAAATCACTTAGAAATATAAAAGCTTTGGTTAATTATCGTACTATTAAGGAAATAATATTAATTAAGGAAAGCAAAATTGTTTACTTATACTTGTTTTCTCCAAGTTGAATTTGGTTTACCATATTCTTCCATGTTGAGTTTTGTCTACCCTATTTTTCCATGTTGAATTTGGTCTACCCTATTTCTCTATGTTGAATTTGGTCTACCCTATTTCTCTATGTTGAATTTAATCTACACTATTTCTCCTAGTTAAATTTGGTCTATCCTATTTCTCTATGTTGAATTTAATTAACACTATTTCTCCAAGTTGGATTTGGTTTACCCTATTTCTCCATGTTGAATTTCGTTTACCATATTTCTCCATTTTAAATTGGGTCTACCTTATCCTAGGAGTTGCTCATTGTCACAATTTTCTCTCCTATTCTGATTTTTCACTGAATTTGTTTTTGTTTGTAGTAATCAGAGTGCTTTATATAATTGTTGGCGTCAGACATCTATGGTGTGTTTCTAAACCGTTAGATGGCGAGAGTGGAGTACATTCTTTACGCCTGCATGTTTATACATCTGTCCAATATCATGTATGTTTGGTCAATGTTGGTATATTTTTGGCAACTGAGCCATGCTTAGCCGGAGCAAGTGTTTATTTATCATCTTTGTTCCTTGAGTATTTATGTTGGAGATCTTAAGTGATTATTCAATACGAAGTGAGAGAATAGTATGTGGTCTGTTTTCGTTTGCCACACTTTTGTTTGAACCATAAAATACGAGCAGATTTTTTAAAGTTTTATTTCATGAAAAGTTTTGTGTTTAAATTATATAAGGGCTGATTGGCACTGGGGATTTTTCTAAAATTACAATTACTTCGAATTTTTCATTCATATTATTCTGCAGCTTAATTACTTTTCTGGAATTATATTAATTTCAATTGTTTCATTCGGACACAGAGTTATGCATAGTATTATTTTTATTGATCA